TTCCCATCGCTAGCGCACGGACAGCAGAAAGTTGCTCAGTGGGCTGTTTTTAAGTTATCAACAAACAAGACGTAGCATTTTCCATCTCCAACAGAGAAAGTAAAGTTTACTTGTAGGTACACCATAAGTCAAAGAAATTGTATTAACTACATGGAACTTTTCAAGTATGTTAAAATGTAGTCCCATTCCAGTCAGATTATAAAAAGCTGCCCCTATGATCAAACTGGTATAATTCTTTAAAGCAAACAAACAAACAAAAAAAAAGCCAAAACACAAAGCAAAACCAAAACCTTACATATCTAAGTAAGCTGTCCTCAAAGAAAAGTAGTATCTGAATCATGCCCCATACAGACAAGGTCAAACAGAGGGGTGGGGGTCAGCCCCCTCGGATCTTTGGTTGCAGCAATCTATTTCCCTTAAAAAGCACACCAAAACCTTTTGTTCTTAGGGAAAATGGTGCACTTCAATCAGCTCCAGGACAGTGGCCTCATGAGCAGCTAACAACAGAAATATATGTGGAAAAAAAAAACAAAAAACATTTAAATAGTCAAGGTACCTTGTTTTCACTGGTATCCTCAAAGCCATTTAAGAAAAGGTGCTCATACCAAACACACTAGCAAACGCTATTAGCAAAGAGACCTATCTCTAGAAACTCAATTGCATTACATCCTTGGGAGTACAGTTTTTACTACAAAACATACAAACTGGAGAAAGTGAAGAAAAAGGAGTCACCTTCTACCTCCTAGTATCTAAATATGTACGCTGACTGTGGGGAAATTAAGCTTCAGAAGTACAGAGTGAATGCTGAGTAACTGACCTAAGATCCAGACTATTTCCATTGTTACCGTGTGCCACTGGGACCCCTCCTGGGCGAGGAGCGACAAGGATAATGGAAAGAACCACCAGTTGTGAATACTGGCTTCCTTCTTACTACTACTAACTCAAAGGCTTGTGCATAAATGAAAAATCTTTGCTCCTAAAAAACACGTTAAAAAAAATACACAAAGATTAATTGTTTTAACTTAGGTAAAAGCTACTTATCACAGATATCGATTATTGTCAGCAGTCTTTCAGGAAAGAAAACCCTAAAATTGTAATAAATGTATATAGCGAGAAGCCTCTCAATACTAACAAACAGCCACTTAATTTTCAAACTCCCGGTAATTGCAGACAAGCAAGATTTCTCAAAAAATAATTTTTGAAGGATTAGAAAACTGAAGTATTAGAATACAGTCAACAATGAATGTGCAGTAAGTGGAAATAAACATCAACTCGGAAAAATGTTAACTAGCAAAGCGGGTTTTAATTTAAAATATCCCCCCCCCCCCCATTTTTAAGGAACAGCAGAGTAAATTGAGGTCAAAAAGAAAATATATTATCTCCCACCAAAAAAAGGCCAGGAGAAAATTCAAATGCGTTTTTCAAACCAGTAATGCAGAATCTAATGTGACATATTTGCTCACTTATGCTAAGCCACACACTAATTTTTCAGATATTCACAATAAAAAGATCTGGGCTGGCCTTCTTCATAAACCATACTATGCATCTGTTAATTTTCATTATCATCAGTTTTAGCCTCCTCTCTGCCTAAAAAATAAAAACTCAAAATCTGATTTTAAAATCTCTACCTTTCCATTTTCCTTTATTTTGGATTTTCAAGTCAAATTGATTGCATTTTTTTCAAAAAAATTCTTCTCAATTCTAAATTGCAATACTTCATAAAAACAGTGTTTTCATTCGAGTACTATTGTTGCTTAGGTTTCCTTTTCATGACACAGGTTTAAAAAAAAGAAACCTTATAACTACTCTTTCCTATGCATGATTCCAAAGTTCAATTGAAAACTTCTGCCTAAAGAAAGCAGTTTAAGGCTGTAAGACTTTGGTTTTATCTTCAATCACCTCTATCTTCAATGAAAGATTCTCAAGTATCGGTATTATCCATGGAAGTTACATCCTTTATACCGACTGTTCCAACCTAGAATGTACTAACAACTTTGGAAAACCTCCAGGTTGACGTTCAGCGGGAGGAAAGTCTAACAACCATTCCGCCTCCCTCTACCCACCCCCACAAAAGTCAGTCAGTCCACAGTCAAAATGCAGGCTAAAGGTTAACCTGAAATGGCATTAAAATACTCATCTAAAGCATTCAGGCATTACAGACTAAGAAAATCTAGAACAGCTAAATCTCAAATTTGTAACTAGCCAAATAAAAATTCTCAAACTGACAAGCAAAAATTTTTACACTAACTCTTGAAAAATATTTTAAAACAGAATTTCAAGAATACAATACACTCAAAATTTCTGTTAATAGAAATTTTGGTTATCATGACTAAACCATAACTAACCATCATTTGGTTAAATAGTTATCAATAAATACATCCACTGCAACTAAGTACAGTATCTTAACTTGATTAAAAAAGTCACTAACATTTACAGTTTTATCTAAATATAAAAAGAATTTTTCAGTAAATCCTATGGACAAAGGAAAATGTAATTCCTAGCCACAGAAGTGATGATTAATTTGTTTTGGACAATGACAAGCCACAAAGGGGCAGAGCACAACTTGCCAAATTTCAGAATTAAATAATCTGGCACAGAAAAACAAAATGATGTACTTCAGAAACCAATTTTTTTCTTCAGTCAAATTAAGTTTATAATAAGGCTAACAATTACAGGAAGCAGCTTATCCCACACGAAGGAACAGCCCCTTTTCCTGCCTGTTTGTACTGATTAAAAAAAAATATCGAACTTCCTAGTCATTTTATGCTGTCCATTTTAAAGATCCTGGCTACCGTACAGAAGCCCTCTTTATGCTGGGTAGTTGAAAAAGCTAAAACAGGGTAGACTAACACTAATGAAATAAAAAACATTAAGATGTGTGTGTGTGTGTGTGTATACACTATTTAGAATGTATCACCCTCAACTAGCTTTCCCCCTGCACTTAAACCACAGAGAAATAAACAAACGTTTGTTAGAGATAATGACATAATTGGAATTCTAGATTTGGAAAATTAAAATGATCGAAGCTAAAGGTTAAAAACTTTCTAACAGAGAACCAACACCAAATTATCATTTAGAGATTTTAAATCAACGTAGTATAACAGCATTTTAGAACCGATAAGAAAAACTTAAATTTACTTTTTAAAAATAATATGCATAAGATGAAAATATTTCCAAACTTGTGTTTCTCTCATGCCATTTGATTGAATTCAACGTTTTAATTCAAAGAACGCATTTTAACTCTAATCCTAAATGTCGTCATGACCTATTTTCAGTATAAAGGATTCCTTCTAAACAGCTGTTCTTAAAGGGGGAAAAAAACCCAAATTTTTACTAATACTACTAAAACTCTTCACCGAAATATACCCAGTAGAAAATAACAGCACCTTCTTAAATGTGATAAAATTGTCCCAAATTTTAAAGAAAATACTTTCAATGTTTGTAAATACATGTATGGACACGAAATGACAGATGAAATGCTCTATGATTTAAGTTTCAACTAAATTTAATACAGGTGAGGCTACTTGGTACGTTACACATTTTGCTCCAAACGTTTCTATTTTAAAAACAATAACTGGCGCCCCTTAGCGCTCACATTTGGAAATGCCCGGCTCAAGAGTTCCAGCATTTTTTTTTTTTTTTTTTGACATTCCAGAAAGTTTTGTGCCTCCACAATCTTTCAAAGGCCAACACAAACAGGAGCGGCAGAACCCCCTTAAAGGGGCAGCTCGGGTGTCGCCGGGCGCGGCCGGCGGCCCGGCCGCCCAACAGCAGCCGGGAGCCCGTTCCGGGGCGGTCGCGGCTGCGGTCGTCGCCGCGGGCGGAGACCGAGCTCGGCAGGACCGGCTCTGCACTTCTGAAATTGTTTCTGCGACTTTGCCGACCGCACGGCTCCCGGGAGTCTTCTCGAACCACCTCTCGCCACTGGAACGCTTCCGGTCTTTTGTTCCTCAGTGACATTCCAGCTCTCCCAAGCCTCGGGTTTCTTTTGCCCGGCTCCCCCGTCCACATTCTTGTGAAAAACCTAAAGTGCACTGTTCGCCTCTAAAACACACACTTTCCCGTTTGATCGGAACGGTCCTCCGCCGCCGCCGGACGGAAAGAGAACCCCGGCCGCTCCGCGTTCACAGCCGACTCCGGCCGGTCCTCCGGCCCCCGCGGCGCCCGCGGCGTTCCCCGCCGCCCGCGAGGACGGCGCCGGGCCGCTGCCCCGGGACTCGGCCGAACCCCGGGCGGGCCGGCCGCCGGCCGATCTCGCCGCGCTGCGCGCCCACAGCTGCCCGCCGGGCGGGCCGCTCGGCCGAGCGCCCGGGCCCCCGGGCGGCCGCGGCGGCGGCGGCGGCGTCCGGGCAGCCCTCCGCCGAAGTTCCCAGAAGTCGGGCCGCGCGCGGCGCCGGCCTCGCGGTATTTCGCGCTCGCCCCCCGCCCCCCCCCGGGAAGTTAGGCTCCCAAACAGTTCTCGCTTCCCCAAACAAAAGGACACAAAGTGCTTTCCGCTGTCATGTTGTGCTCGCCTTCGGCCACGGCCGCGTTACTTTCGCTCTCCGGTGGAACCCCTCCAAGTGGGCCGCCCCACGCGGCTCCCCTCGAGTGTGCCCGAGCTCCACCAACTCCCACAAAGCACAGCCCCCGGACCCGCGCGGGGGGCCCTCCCGCCTCCCCGGGGGAGCCCCCCGAGAGCGGCCCGCGCCGGTGTCCTTCAGGCGCCCGGGGCGCGGGCCGGGCTCCTCCGGGGAGGCCCGCGGAGCTCACCCTGCAGCCTCGCCAGCGCACCCGCCCGGGCGGCGCGAGGTGCGGGGTCCCGGGTCCCGGGTCCCGGGTCCCGGGTGCGGGGCGCGTCCCGCCCGCCCGCGGCGCCCCGCGAGCCCGTCTCCGCGCCCTCTCCCCGCGCCCCGCCCCGGCCTCCCGGTCCCCGCGGGCCGCGACCTCCCCGCCCTCCCCGCGCGCCGGCGGGCGTCGGGTCCCGGGAGCGGGCCGCGGGGGCCGGGGCGGCGACTCACCTTCGTCCAGCAGCCGCTCTAGGTGGTTGAAGATCCCGCAGAAGTTGGGCAGGCTGCTCATGAGCTTCTTGTCGTTCATCAGCTGCATCAGGTAATCTGGGGTGGGCTTCGGCTTCTCCTTCGTTTCCATTTCCCCGACCATATTCCAGGCTCCGCAGCTCACTCCGCCCGCCGCCGCCGCCGCCGCCGCCGCCGGAGAGGGAGGGAGGGGCGGGGAGCCCCGGCTGCCGGCCGCTCGGGACTCGGCGTCCCGCTCCGCTTCGCTCCCGCGCCGGGCGGCCGGACCGCGCGCCCTCCCCGCCCCCGCAGGCACTTTCCGCCGCGGCTCCGCGGCCGCCGGCTCGGCGCGTCCCTCTCGAGGCCGGCGGGGGAGGCGGGTCTCCGCGGGCCGAGTGCGAGCGCGGGCCGCTGGGCGCCGGACGAGGAGGAGCCGAACCGCCTCTCGCTCGATCGCTCTCTCCGCCGGTCGCGCCCGCTCAGCCGCCGCCGCCGCCGCCTGCGCCGCGGGCTCGGGGTCTCTCTGGGATGGTCCCCGCCGCGGCCGCCTCTGCCGCTGCCGCTGCCGCCGCCGCCGCCGCGCTCTGACTCCGCTCCTCCTCTTCCTCCTCCTCCTCGCCGCCGCCTCCTCCTCCTCACTCACTTGGCGGCGGAGTTCGCCTCAGTTCAGGCGGCGCTGCCAGCGGCGGCGGCGGGGGAGGGGCGGCGGGCGGGGAGGGCCGGGGGCGGGCGGCGGGCGGGGCCGCGCAGGGCGGCCGTTAGCGGGGCGGGCGGCACGCTCCGCCCCCCGCCCCGGGCCGCGGCCGCGCCTCTCCCTCCCGCAGGGTGGGCGCCGGCCCCGGGCGGTGCGCGGCGAGCGCGGCCGGGGCTCCGGGCCGGGGTCGCCACCCCGGGGCGGACGCGGGCGGAGGGAGGGGCCGGTGTGGGGCGGCTGGCGGCGGCGGCGGCGGTGCTGTCGACGGGGGCGGGGGCCGGGGGCCGGCGGGCTGTGGCAGGAGGTGACAAGGACTCCCAGCGGGACGCGCCGCGGAGCGCCGGGACTGCTCTAGCCGCCGCCCGGCCCCATTCTCCCCTCTCGTTACTACAGTTCTTTAAAAAGCTCTCGTCGCCCTCCCTGCCACCAAAAAAAATTATTTTTTTTTAACGTCCTGTTGCTTCACAGGGGACTTTCGCGGTGGGCGTCACGTGGTCCGACACGTAGCCGTAAGGTGCGAGAGCGCGTGCGCGCGCCTGGGCCGACAGCCACGCCCCTTCCGAGGGTCGCCCCGCCCCCGCCCGGGCCCAGCGTGCGGTGGGGGGATTTGAGGGGCCTGGCGTGCGCCTGCGTGGGGCAGGGGCGGGCGGGCGGGGCCGGGGAGGGTGCGCACAAGGAGGACGAGGGAGGGGGAGGTGTGCGGGCCTTTTTGCGAGAACCGCGCCTCGGTCTGTGGGGCCCGACGGACCCCGAAGGGCGGGGACGGGAAGCCGAGAGGTCTGAGCTCCGAGGCCCTCGCTGTATCTTTTGTGCGGCCCCTTTTCGCCTTCGCAGGACTTGACCACGGCGGGCCCCGACTGCAGCTAGGTCGTTGGTGGGACCGCCCGACCCTCTCTCCGCCCCTCGTTCCCCCATCCCGCATCCCTGCGGTCTCCTTCGGTTCCCAGAGCCTCGCGGTGGGAAGGAGCCTGAGGAGTGGCGGGTCCCGCGTGGGCGCGCCTTGTCTCCCCGACGGCGTCGCCGCTCTCGGTGCGGTGGTCTCTCCCGCGGCTGGCGCGCCCCTGGGGACAGGGTGTGCTTTGTTGCCGCAGCCCGTTATTCCGAGATCCAGCCGCGGTCCGGAGCAGGCAGCGCGGTGCACGAAATTCTGAGTCTGTGAATGGCGTTCGCAGGGTTCTGCTTCGTGATGGCATCGGCATCCAGAAATAAGATGCAGCCGCAGTAAAGAAATAAAGAGCATGTGCCCTGTTGAAGAGCGAGAGTCAACATTTCTATTTGCAAATTGCAGCAATAACCATACGATGGGCACGAGGGTTTGCCAAGCACAATGATGGATTTCAGATTTTTAGGTTAGTCTGGGAAAGAATTTTCTGAGCTGCAGCAGTATAGTTAGTTGTCTTTGGAATGTTACCAATCACTAAATCTGCATTTTATTGCAAGCTCTTTATGACGTGTGCAATTCATATAATTGAGACAAAAATCATTTACTGTCACTGACCATTGTGAGAGTTACAAGTGCCTGAGATTTTTCTTAACCGTGTCTACTGTGTTTGAACTGTGAACTTGCTTCAAACAAATTCTTAGCAACAGTTTTTAAGACTGAGTTGCATTGAAGCTACTAAGTAAGTTTCAAACAAATACAAAAAAAAAAGTAATTTCTTGCCTGTTCATTTGAAGAACACAGTGAGTTCATTTTCAAAATTAAGCTACTTTGATCAAGGAAATGGAATTGCCTTGGCAGGCCAAGTTAAAAACATTTAACCCCCAAATTTAAGTTGTCTGATATCCATCACTGTTAAGAGCCATAGAATATTCATGTACTCATTACCTATTTAAAGGATGAATTGTATAAATATAAGGAATAATAATTTGACAGAATCTGTAAACATTAAAATGCTTTTTCGGTGTTTAGCAAAATGGTAAGTAGTTTTAAAGGGTTTAGGTAGTAAATTACTTATTTGATATGCTAATGTAAAAGATTCAATCCCCCTTTTTCATTGGTTCACTTCTGTATTAATCCCCCAAGCACTGTTTTTAAAGGTGTTACATGTATAAGTGCTTTACATATATAACTCATTTAATCTTCAGTTCAACTTTCCGGCTTGGGTTGTGCTGTATCCCCATTTTACATCCCAGGAAACCCAAGGGGAAGGAGGTTAAGTGACTGGCCCAAGACCACAGCTCATGAGCACTGCATCTGGGATGCAAACCCACTTACACTTTATTCAAAGCCCTTGTTCTTGACCCATCTACTGGCCCTAGTCAGTAAATCACATTAAACCTCGTGACCACGTTTGACCATTTTTGACCCGTAGGAACTGGAACATCATAGCTCACGCAGCTCTTCACTAAGCCAACCAGGTCAGAATTAAAGAACCATGTTAGGCAGTAGTCATTTCCCGTGTATTAAATCCCTTATAGTTGCAGCGTTTGCTAAGAGTTACTAGGCATTACCTGTTCAAATACAGACTGATCACATCACCTCTGCTCACAGTTCTTTCATTATCCATTTCCAATTTAAAAAAAAAATGAAGGTCTTACCAAAGCCTGTAGCCCCAGATGCTCTGACCCCTGCTGCCTTGCTGACCTTCTGTCCATCTCCCCCTGTCACAGTGGTCTGTAGGCCCTGGAATCCCCTCCCCCATCCTTAAATAGACCAAGCAGTGGGACTCAGGGTGTTGAGTACAGATGCTTGGAGGCTTCCTGACTAATAGGAGGCTGAAAATGTTTAAGGGGAGTTTGCCCCAAGGTTCCCTTCCTCAAGCAGCTCTTTCTACTGAAAATCTCCGGGGCAAAGAGGGAGTGAAAAACCCTTCCTCAGCTGGACTTGGCACTTTGTGCTTCTCTCCTTGCAGTGCTCTCCCTGCGTGCCCGCGAGCCCGCCTCCAGGTGCTTTGCCACCGGAAGTCCACGCCGTGCAGAAGTGCACACATACGTCCTTGCTGTTGTCTGCTGACCCTCCTTTTCATTCTCCTCACAGCACTTGTTTCCTCCTGACACAGCCTGTCTATGGTAAGCTTGTCACATCCCCCTCCCCGTAAGCTCCACGAGAGCAAGGACTTTATTTTGTTCTGTTTGGAAATTCCCGGCTCCTAGAACAGCGTGTGGTATGTGTGGGTACTCATGAAAAATATGTTCAGAAAGGGTATTAAGCACTTGTTATGCACTGGGAACGGTACAAAACCCTTCCCTACGTTACTTCATTTAATTCGTACAGTGGACATTGGAGGTGGGCATGAGGGCCGGACGCCTCCCCTTGGAGACAAGCGCAGCACAGACAATCCCCTGCCCTTTCTGTGTCACGCTCCGCCTTGGGCATTGGAGGTCCACAGCACACCACTTCCCAGCCTGCCTGTCAGTGCAGTGAGAATGCAGAAATTCTTGGGATACATCTCTTGTCTTCAAGAAGCTTAAACATCTAAAAATGACTGTGGGAAGACCAAGGACATTAGTGCAGATATGTCACATGACCTTGGCAGGTGGCCCTGCGCACAAGGAGTGTGTGTGGGTGAGCCTCTCGTCGAAGATCCCTGTGACTTTGCTCACGAAAAATCTCTGATATGTTGACCCTAAAAATGGTTCCATAGCTAATATCAGTAATTAACCACACGTTGTCTTAAATTTGATTTTATTTGCTTATGGCTATTCTGGACATTTAAAATGTAAAAAATTGCAGTATCCCAAGCATTCTTATACTACATCATGTTCTTGCAGGAACAAAAATGTTCCTTGGACTTAAGAATCAATGTTTGATGGCTTTTGGTCCCAAATGTTCTTTCTAAAAATGTTAACCCTTGAATTTTTCTAAAAGGGAATGGGCATTCCCTGTTTCTTTGTAAAGTAAATCTTTGTTTATCGTGTTAATGGATTTGTTGAGACTTCTTTTAAATTGTGAGAGGGCTGATCAGGTCTGTTTAAAAGGTGGAAATGACACGTTGTAAGTGTGAACATCTTCATCAACACATACCAGTCCCTGTCGCTAACCCCGAGGCGCTCCGGGCTGAGCCAGGTGGTAACAGTAACGTGGCACATGGAAGGAGAGGTAGCCGGGGAAAGTGAACGCTGGAGACAGAGCGCTGTCTGCGTGGGGAGGGGCACCGCCTTCCAGGCCAGGAGCCTCGCGGGGCCGCTCAGGGGGCCACACGGGGCAGCTGGGGGGTGGGGGGCGGCCCTGGGCCTGGAAGCAGCAGCGCGAGTGCAGATTGTAGACCTTGACGGACACGTGGCGGTGGCCGCGTGCCAGGCTCTCCGGTGGGAGTTTCCCACGAGACTAGTAGGTGCCAGATTTCGGTCGTTCTCGAATGTCAAGCTGAAGTGTTCATAGACAGGAGACGTAGGATTTTGTTTAACGCAAGGAAATTAATCAATAAAACAGTAACATGAATTCTGTTCGGTGAGGTACATTTGTATCTGATGGGGCTAACGCAACACTGGTCGAGTGAAAGGCACTGCTCTCCGTGGCAATACCAGTCGGGCCGCCTTTCCAAACCACGGACACGTTTGCAGATGTAACACTCACATTTAGCTTAAACCACTGCACGGCAGTTAGCTATTAACTGGCCGGGTCAGGTTTCCACTCATTTGACCCCAAAGGAAACTTTAGAGGTAAAAAGCTTCTCAGCCCAGAGGCAGGCCCTTGTGCCATGTAATCCAATCTTCATTCCACATTTAAACAGAAACTTGGACTTAAAAATCATTGTCTGTTATATATAGGAACACGAGAGAATTAAAAATGCATTTTTGTTTTGATCAACTTTCAGGCGGATTCAGAATTTAATGATTGCAAAACAATTTCCATAGTGTTCCCCTGGGTTGGGTTGATTTGTTGTGTTTTCCCTTTAGGATGAATCTGTGATTTGCTTTTTTAACATATTAAAAATGTTAATAATGTATGTGTTAGTTTTAAATAACTAAGGTCAGAAAACATTTTAGGAGCAAGGGAAGTATCTATTTGTGCCCTAGACATTTCATCAAATGCCATTACCCTTTACTAAAATTCAACTTACACCTTAATGTTGCATTTTTCCAGTAATTTCTGTATAGTCTTGCTTTCTAAACAGAGCTCCAAGGGGAACCAGGGAGACAGAAAGAGGGCCAACACTTTGGAGTCCCTACCAGCTGGGAGGCTCCTCAGTTGTGAGCTGAGTGCCTGGCCGCACTGAGTTCATTGTGACCCCCATTTATGGACAAGAAGCCGAGGCTCAGAGGGTTAACCAAGGGGTGTGGCTCCCGTGACACAGCCAGTGAATGGCGGGGACCAGATTCGAGCCAGACCTCCCAAATCCTGAGTGATTTACAGCGCGATGCTGGCCCTTCTGTCCGTTAACTCTGTGTACCCCAAGAGCTACGTCTTTGAGTGACTAAAATACTGTTCTCTTTGAGTCTTTTTTTCAGCGTTCTAACCAATGAGGGTGTTGAATCTTTTCAAGCAGTAAGCTCTATTAGCTCACGGAAATACTGCTGGCGTCACATAGGAAGAGGTTACTGTGCTGGGTATAAAAAGGCCGTATTAGCCTATCCTAATGAGCTGTGTGACTCAGAGTAAATCACTCAGTGTCTCTGAGATTTGAACCTAGTGATCTTGGAAGTCTTTCTGAGTTCTGTGATTCTGAATAAGATGTGCTCGTCCATATCAGCAAGTTGACTTTGTAGTAATTTAATTTCTGTGCCTAAGATAACCCTGTGTACATATGTGTGGTCACGTAATGGCGATAAGAAATGTATTCTAAAATCGTCAGTGTTCAATGTTGCATTCCTCATTGAAATAAAAAAATTATTTATGGATTTTTGTTTCCCTTGGACAATACATTTGAGTGCAAATGTTACATTTTTATAATTTCCAAAGGATTAAACCAAATCCTTTTTTTGAAACATATCGCAACTTAATAAAAAGTAGAGCACTGAAAAGTCGCATCCAGAGCTCCTGGTGGAGAAACCCACGCCCAAGAGAACACGCAAATCCCTGGACGGTAGAAGCCAGGGCTCTGCCTTCCTGTCTGCTCTTATTTTAAAAATGCTTTACAAGAGGTCTACTTTCAATAATTACTTGTTTGCAAAAAAGAAAGAAAAAAAAAAAACACACAGACATACTTGGGCCCCAGGAAGGGCAAGCTGTGCAAGCTGCTCTCGGCCCAGAATACTGATCTGAATAAACAGTAGCCTCTGGAAATCCTTGCCTTCTGACCCAGGGACACAGAGCGGCAGGAGGGGCCTCGGTGGCTGTCGCTGTGGGGACGGTTCTGCACTGTGATTCCGTGGTCCCTGGGAAGGGGCCCGGAATGCCAGATGCGTCTCACTCCACAGACAACCTGCCGGCCGGGCGCCGGGGCCGAGCACCTGGGGGCTGCCGCGCCTCCAGCAGGTCTGCAAGTGAGGACCTCTTGTTTAAATATCGAAGGGGCTTGCGTAGCAACGGCATTTGATCAGAACCCCGTTATTCCGTATTTGGATTTAAGGTGAAAAGCGATTATTCTTGAAGCTGTTCAGCCAGGGCACACCAGCACAGCTTTATCAGTGTTTAAATTCTGGAGCATCTCCCCATCACTCAGAGCGGTGACCACGCTTACCCGCCCTGCCCAGCCCTTCCCTCAACCCCCCAGACCCCTGACCCTCGGCCCTACCAACCGTAAAAACAGTTTGAATATCACCTCTGTTGCTGTCAGTTTATCTACATATTTAGGAAGTTGTTTACGTCCTATCTTCCTGTCTATTAAACATGACAGAGTTGACTGTTTTTTCTAATTGCAACTGAAATTATTTTTTTCTCTAAAATATGCATAGGTTCTTTGGGCACCTAGCCAAATTCAGAAGGGAGATTTCTGCAAGTCACGTCGTCTCCCCAGTTTACAGTGAAATACCAAAGTCTCCAGTTTTACTTTCTATTTTGCACCGAATGATGTTTTCAGAAGCAGGTCGTTGCCAGAGCTGACGCACGGTTCAGCATCCTCCCGGCGCCGGACTCGTTCTGCTTCACACCACGTCAGTCCTCGGCCCCGCCCTCTCCCCCCCCTCCCCGGCCCCCTGCAGCGGTCCCATGACTGGGCTGGGCTCCGCGGGCCACCTCTGGGAGGCCAGGGGAGGCCAGCGTGGACTGGCTCCTGGTTCTCCTGCCCCAGCCCATCGCCGAGGGCCGCCAACTTGATGAACTGGCAGTAATGACACTCTTGTTCTCAGTATTCTCTGGTAGTAAGGATCATGTTTTTAGCTGCAAATAAGATGCAGCAGTAAAATGACCAACTGCTTTGGTTTGTAAGTTCTGAAACGAGTGGGAGGAGCACTGTCTGTTTAACAGTCCTGTGCGCGGGCCGCCCGGAATTAGGGCATGGCGGGCAGTCGCAGGCCCAAGCCGGGACAGGCGACAGGCCACGGGACGCGCCCTCCCGGTGCCGGGATCCTGTCTCCGTCCAGGTGAGGCTTTAAAGGAGCAGCAAGACCGTGCGGAGGAAGTCAGAAACACTCGAGTGTTAAGTTGTGAAATGAAAGAAGAGCAAGAAGCCTTGGGGGTCACAGAGGCCAAAGACAGGCCTATAAACGGTCCCGTCAGCTCCCTCTCCAGGACCAGCTCCCTCTCCAGCTGCCCGGCGCGCCTGGGCGGAGGCCGCCGGCCCTTCTCTGCGCCAGCTTCCTCGGCCCCCGGGGACCCATAGCCAGACTTGACCTTCTCCTCTCCCTCAGCTGACCAGGTTTCAACATGTCAGCCGGCCCAGCGCCTGATTTCGCGCCGGCACACTTTCACTTAATCAGACAGCCCCGCCAGCCCCGGCCAGGCCTGGTCACTGTGTAGGGAGCACACGCCAAGTGGGGACAGCAGCACGCGGCTGTCTGGGTGTCAGGCCGCTGAGCACGGAGCCCAGTGTGGGGAGGAGGCTCGGACAGCCGGCGTCCAGCTAGCACCCCTCCTGCCCTGTGAGGTAAGGCTGTCCCGGCCCCACCGCATAACCTGCCCTGCCACGCCGCAGAAATGCCGTCGTCACAGGCGATGCCGACGGGCTGCCTTTACACCCCGACGGTGAGAGAGACCAAACACTTGCACAAGAGTTGGCTGGTCCTGGGAGGAGGCAGCTGGGCACAGGGGTCTGGGGCAGCAGCCTCGGACGCCCCGGGTTCACACCTTGGTCGTGCCCTTTAACTACCTACGCCTCTCTCTTCTCACCTGTGAAAGGGTAGCGTCACCTAAGGATGTCACCAGGCGACGTGGGTATGTTAGCAGGAAGGGCCCCCAAAACCTCCGGCACAGGAAGCATTCTGTGCACGGCACTGGTTTAAACGCCAGAGAGAGTAAGGCCTGGATACAGCTCATGCTTACCAATGCACCTGATTTTAGACTGGGTATAAATATCTTTAAACTGAACTGAAAATGTATCCACAAGGCTGAAAAGTAGCTAGTCATCAGCTTCCTCCGCTTCCTATTGCACAAACCATTTCCTGTTCCCAGGACTGCTGACACTGGGAAGTAGAGGACAAACAACCCGAGGAAGAGGAGCCTGGGCCCCAGGCTCGCTGTCCTGTCTGCGGCAGTGACGGTCCATCTGCGGTGCCCAGTGCCCAGCTGCTAGACGGCAGAAACAGCTCTGTAGCTGTGGGGCGGGTGTGGCAAAGGAGAGACCGCCCCCCCCCCCCACATCCCTGCCCTGTAGCACCCAAGCTGGCAATTAACGTAAGGTCCTGGGGAGATGACATCTTCCAGAAGGTCCGGGACCAGGGTAGACAGGCACCTGCCCTCCCGGACTTGCAGCAGCTCCCGGGACACCTGCACCGAGTCCAATGTCGTGTCCTAGCTGACACTGACGGTAGGGAGCCGATGCAGGGTGTACGGCAGGGCGTCCCAGCACCTGCCGGCTGCATCAGGCCCAGTCAGGGGCTTCCTGCAGTGCCTGGCAGGGGCAGGTGGGCAAACCTGCTCAGCCACACTGTGCTTTCTACATGGCCACAGACAGCTGGCAAGCAAAACGGTGAGCCCCCACCTCCCCACCATTTAAAAAATCAGATTCCATGGGGAAAAACAAGTCACGCTTTGAGGAGTTTAACATCGGAAAGTAGTCTGGGAGGAGACAGTTGCACACTCTCTCTCGAGTGGCTTCTGCAGGTCGGTTCCACGGGTCACACATGAAGCAGAGAAGACAGTTGACAGCCCTGGGTCCCCCGGGCCGGCCCTGAAGCAGACGTGACTGCTCCAGGTAAGCTCCCAGGAGGCCTAGGTCTTCAGCCAAACTAGAGCTCCGAGCCCCCGGTGTCTGGTGCCCAGCATCTGCCACCAGCACCCAGCCGCCAGGCCACACGTGCAGCCTCCAAAAACGTGCCCCCGGAGCCAACACTTTCTCTGCCTGGCTTTCGAGGCTTCCAGATGAAGGCAGGGATGCACAGTGAAACCAAGGTAGCTGAAAGGGAAAAAGAACCTCTGTCATAAACCATTTTGCAATTATGAGTCTGGCCGCACGGTGAATCACATACCCTGCCACAGCAGTGATGGTGAACGGAATTTATATTTGCATCACGTGTTTTCTCATTGCAAAGAAGGCCTCCTGTTATCACTAGACTCCTGGGGGGATGACTCAGTCTGAATTCCTGACCAGGGAAATTTGGATAAAAATTTTCTTCTCAATATCTACTTGTATAGAAATGGCTTATTATAACACATACGTAACACGTACACAACAGTCATGCACTAAGCGAGGGTAATGTTATAGATCACAGCAAAAAAAAAAAAAAGTAAGTCACCTATTTTTATGCCGGATTTTCCCCAAGGCAAAACCTTGGTCATGTCATTGAGCTGTCATGTGAACCACACCAGCCTGAGCTCAGGGCATAGCGCGCTCTCCCGGGGCTTCCCCTCCCCCAGCCAGTCTCAAGTTCAACAGCTCTCCTCTCTGCCTCTGCCTTTTCCCATTTTCTC